GATGGCGACTGTGTATGTCAGTGTTCTTCACACATTTTCAGAGGAGGACACTTTCGCCGATAAGACATCATTAGTGTGAAGGCCGCCACACACTGCGAAACCATTGGGGGTTTGAAAGCAGCACGATGGTGATGACTGGGGGGGGGGGAGGGTGTCACGTGTTGTTCTATTGTCGGGGGGCCCACTAAAGCGATTGGTCCGCTGGCCTTGCAATGAAGAACACCGGTTTACGTGTTGAGCACGAGACCCAGAGCAACCTGGAGCATGAGGCTCAGCCGAGCCTACGAGTGACGCCAGTCAACCTTCGCACATCGCGTAGAGTGCGTGGAGCAGTCACGCAGTGATCTTGGTGTGACCGGAATTCAATTCCAATTCACTGCTACCATCAGTGGCGAGCGATATCTGTACGTGTGTACGTTGAACTTCTTACGCGCCGTACGTAGGCAACCGTGCCAAGCGGAATGTGCGGATATCCGAGCGGGTCCTGTGTCCGCCTTCACCAATCGGCATTGGCAAGGGTGGTGAAGTATGGACAAACAACCCCCACTGCCGACGTGGCTTGGTGAGACGTTTATCCAGCAGTCAATGGATAAAGGACTGTGAATTATTGTATTTAATTGTGCTTATTAATCGATACAAGTTTTTTTTTCCTGCGTACAGTATGAATCTATATTCTTGGGTTTTTTCCGGTAAAGTCACGTAGGTAAAAAAAATTAAATTATAAAAGTAAAATACAATTTTTACTTGATACAGCGAGCGTGCTGTGACGGTTCCACCTGAAGACGGAGGCTTGTGTTGCCTCCGAAACGTCGTGATTTTTATTTTATTTTAATTTTACTTTTATTAATTTTAATGTTTTACCTACGTGACTTTACAAAAAAACCCCAAAAATATGAATCCTTGCAGTCACGAAAGCTTCAAATCTAGAAGTATGAATCTAACACAGTTATCAGACTGTGCGGCACACAACATCCATCCAACATGAGTACACAACGAGTACACACATACCACGACTTACGAAGATGGTACACACACAGGTGATAGGTACATATACAACGGTGACAGGTATGCACAGGAGAAAGGTACACGCAGGAGATAATTGAACGCAGGTGACAGATGCTGACCGATTACACGCCGGTGACTGGCGCACGCAGGTTACAAATGCACACAGGTGACATGTACACACAGGTACACACATGTACACATAGGTGGCAGGTGCATGCAGGTATACGAGTAGGCGCGTCACGCTGCACGCAGGCGCGTGTTGGTTTAAGCGCAGTGTTTGGTGCCTCGTTCCCCACGACCACGGGGCATTTATGTTTAATGAGACGCGCTTTGATGTACTTAAGGGTTAGGGGCTCAGTTTCAGGGTTATCATCATCATCACCATCGTGATAATGTGTTTTGTTATTCAAGGCATGTATTTCAGGAGGATCCTGCTTGGGGATTGTTGTACCTATTCCACCGATTCCATCAATGGCACGTTGGGGAAAATCGGGAGTATGTACCAGGACCCCCTCCGCCCCCCCCCCCCTATACGAGGCAAATATCCGCACAGATGGATTCAATCCATTGCTATACTGCCATCACGCGGCCACCTCACAGCCTAAGAAAACAACGCACGTGGTGTTTTTTTCTCTCCCTAAGTTGGCGGTGCGTCCAAGCACCACTCACCGGGCTGAAAATCCCTGCTGAGCTTCAGACATTTAACGAGTGCGGGCGAATTCACGGTGATTTTCGACTTTTGACACCAGCTCGCGGTCGCTTCAGAGGCATCACTGTCGAAGTCTATCACACTCCTCGTTAGTATAATGGTCAGTATCCCCGCCCCCCTCCACTGCCAGATGTCTATTTTCTTGGTTCTTTCGGTAAAGCCACGTAGAAGGGAAATAAATAATAATAAAAAAATCAAACAATAAAAACTCTTTTTATTTTATTATTTCCCTTCGACGTGAAAGAACCAAGAATATGAATCCTTGCAGTCACAAAAGCTTTAAATCAAAATGTCAGATATAATTACACGTTACGAAATGAGATTTAATCAGTGCAGACAATTGCGTAACGTCTGCTCGCAATTGCAGGACATTAAATACTGCGTAGGGGTTCTCACGGAGAGCAGGCATCAGATGTGCCTCGTCACCGTATGATGAATGTTAATGTCAGTATCAAGCGTTTCACACTTCGCAACGCGTGTAGCGGGACGTGTGTGTGTGTCCGCACTGTCGAGGAGGCTCGTGAAGGAACGCTGTTGCTGCTGCTGGGCATTGGGGAGGCAGTCGCACCTTCAACAACAACGGAGGGCAGAGGAGCGACGCTCGTAACAACGAGCGGAGCGCCGGGCGGCTAAAAACACCGCAAGTTGGCATCGTAGGGAGGCACAGGTGGTGCATCTGGCGGTCATCTCAGACATTCAACCCATGGCATCTTGGGTCTGTCCCATGACCTGCCAGCACTTCATGTGGCCTGTGCACTTAGCCTGGCACAAGCGCCGTGGTGATGTCACCTCCACTTAGCCTGGATGTTGTGCGCGGACTTGCCCGCATGTTTCAATACAATCGTGTAGAGTATTATTAACAACGTTATACTATTCGGTGAGCTTGAACAATACAAAAAGGTTGATTAAATATAATTACAGGCGTTTGTTTTAAACCTTCACTGATTGTTATGAACAATCGCGTTTCAGCCAACTGGGTTTCTTCTTCTGCAGGAAATTATTTCTTCACTAAAGAGTTCCGTGGAGTACACGGTGCTAATGGATGCATTTTCAAGTCGTTCTGAACACAAATCGCTGTGTGTTGCATCACTATCTTACATTTAAAAATACTATAATGTGACTTAAAACCTGGCCGAGTCTGATAACAGTTAAGTAGTTCCCAATAATATATGACCCCCCGAGTCTTAACCTGAGCTTCTACCGTATCCTATAAAAATTACGATATCGTCGGTGTATATACAGCGTGTCGAAAGAGTCGATACATCACGAGACGCCGTAACTAGGGGCAAGGATACAAACATAAACGGTGCATTCACACAAGGTGAATCAAGTACATCGCAACAACAAGAAGAAAAAAACACGGGTTGCACGTATATACGTTGAACTTTTTTCGCACCGTACGTAAGCCAACCGTGCTAATCGGAAATGCACATATGGAACATCGAACCCAGGTCGTCAGGTTCATAGCGCAGCGCGCTAACCGCTACACTACCGCTCCCCACAAGACACACACAGACACACACAGGTACACAAAGACACACAGACACACACAGACACACACAGACACACACACACAGACACACACACACGCGCGCGCCGCCTCGAATATCGCAGCCCCGCGCGGATCGACACGGCACCGCTCTGATGATAACGAGTGGAAAGTGGTTTTCGCGGCTCGTGTAAGCGGTTTGTTCAGCTGACCGAGTGAGGATGTTCTAATTCCCTTCCACCAGTCGACGAGAGTAGCCCCCCCGTTCCATCGCTAAGATCGAACCACCTGAGCCCATTCACCTCTCCCCGTGTTCCCGGAGAACAAAAAGCGGGGCGGAGGGGGGGGAGATATATTTTTGTTTTTTAATCTTTATCTGAGCACACAACGCGCACTCGTGAGCAGTTTGAAAGCGGCTCGTTCCGTTTGCTTTGCGGAGCATGGCTCTGTTTAGTCAGCCGTCGAGGGCTCGCGCGGCACGCGCCGTGTCCTCTGTAAACAAATGCGTGCGCGGGGAAGATTATTGAAGGTGCTGTCGATTATCCATCTACACGGCAGCGGAGACCTTTATTTGCTGTGTATGTATGTACGTTGAACTTCTTTCGCACCGTACGTAGCCAACCGTGCTAATCGGAGGTGCTATGAAGAAGGGTCCTAGCCAGGAACGTCGGCGATTTATATATTTTTTGCTATCTACGTGACTTAACCGAAAGAACCAACGAGTATTTAAATATTGTTTTACTTTTAAGGCCAATGTGGCGTTGACGAATGTGAGGTTTGCTTAGATGGCTGTTGGGCCGAGTTTAATGTCTCATCGGAATATTACTGAAACGAGTAAGAATACTGGAATGATTGCACATTCTGGGTGATTTTATCACTCGCCGAATAATCATAGTAAGTTGTATTTATTATACCGTAAGATTGAGAGATATGGCAGGCGGTTTGGAAAGGTCTTCTTCATCCCGCAGTTGATATACCATGGCTGATGATGAGACCAATTATTGTTGTTGATGATGATTTATAATAAAAGTTTTTGGGTTAGATTGCGTTATTTATAAATGTGTCGTAACCCTCCACCACCCGACACGGCCTATCAGCCCACCGGTGGGCTAAAGTAGTGAACTATTTGTCTTTTGTCAACGTGAGCACTTTTTTACTGATTGGCCGTGTCGGGTGGTGGAGGGTTACGACACATTTATAAATAACGCGATCTAACCCAAAACGTTTATTATGAATAATATTGGTCTTGAAAGCCTCCGTGTTAAACTGTTGTTGTTGTTGATGTTGTCAGGATACGCCCGCTCCAGAGGTGCACGTGACAACAGCCGCAGCCGTAGCGAGATGCTGTGCGACCGGGCGTGGATTCTATTTTCGGGTAATCGATTCAGCTAACATGGAACCACGGGTAGGGCCCCCCATTGAGTACCGTAATGAATACGAGTAACCTAAACTATTTTTTATTTTACCAGGTAAGGCCCGCTGAGCTTCTATCGCTCTTTTTTTCAGAAGCGACCTGGCCACAAATGATCACTCAACGAAGCGGCTCATCGCGTGTAAATGTATAGCAGCCCAACACTCTAAACGCACGATGTTGTTTCTAAATGTGGATGGAACAAGCCGGATAACTCGGAGAAATACCCACGCGGTCACGGGGAGAGACACTCCTAAAATATACAGCAGGCGTCAGGGTCGGGATCGGATCGAACCCACGACCTCCTTGCATACCAGTGGAGGTAGTTAACATCTCGCGACCGTGAATATGTACCACCACCACCACCACTCCTCCCTCCCTCCTACCTTTCGATGAGCCGTGCGTACGCCTCCTCTGGTTTTCGAACTCTCCCGGTCTGGGGGCTCCTGTGGACGACGTAGCCCGGGGGGGGCCTCATCCCCTCCGCGGGGGGCTGGGACCACGACTCGCGTCGCTGCGCTTGGGGAACCCGCGCCTCCACGCCGCCCCCCGCGCTCAGCGTCCCGGCTGGGGTCCCCGTTGGGGATCCCCGTTGGGGTGCCCGCTGGGGTACCCGTCAGGGCGCCGCGGCCGAAGCCGTCACTCAGAGCTCTCTTCATCATCATTGCCGGGCGCCTACGGCTTCATTGAGGGAGACGGCGCGGGTTGGACGGGGCGGTTGTGGCGATCGGAGGAGGGAGGACCTGCCGAGGACAAGAAGCACGAGACATTGCTGGGGTTGCTACGGGGGGGGGAGGGTGGGGTGCGATGTGTGCGTGATGCGTGGCCGTGGGGTGTGATTTACACCCAACGCCCTATCATCACTATCATTACCATCGTGTTGACCGAATTGTTATCACCGTCATCGTTCTCAGAGACAGGAGTCATCGTTGTGTTTTCTTATCGGTGGCATATTTATGAAGTTAAGCATGTTTTTTACTCAGCTGAAAGTGTGTTTTTATTTAATGTGTATGCATGAAATGCACTGTAACCGTCAATGGTAATGGGTGTTATCATCATCACAATCGTCAATGCCACCTTATATTTGGAGACTGAGCGAATGGTATGAATTCTAAAGATATCCTAATGAAGGGCTATAGCACACACAAAGTCGTTTTTACGGGTACAACGAAAACCATTCTTGATACCAATTAAAACATTGTTTGTCACGATGCACATACGGTTTGGAGGTTAATTGGTTTAATTGATGGCGCAATGAGAACTCACAAGTTCGACATCGTTTCGTGGTGAACACGCGTATCCTAGCCGCATCACCATCATCATCAGTGAACCAGCAAATTCCACTCCCGTGAATGTGTGACGCTAAAGCCGAATAAAAGCTGTCCAAGCCCGATGCAGGCTGCTCGTAGCTGAGTCATACCGAGCTACTACAAAGAAGACATCAATCAGCAGTAGATTGACAACGGACGGTACATCGATGCATTTTGTATTGTATTTTCGTAAAGCAAAGACACTGCATCATCCTCATCATCATGGGGTTTGTCAAATCGTATAATTTCAACGTAGCATTTTGCCGCTCAATTAACAAAGTTTAGTTGTTTGTTCTGCTTCCGTCAACGTCTACGACTTGTGCACACACGGGCGTGTATCCGCCTCGGCTACGCATGCACGTATATTGAGTTTTTTTCGTACCGTACGTAGCCAACCGCGATGATCGGAGGCGCGGATAACGAAACACGAAATCCATTAAAGAGCACAATAAAAGTTACGACTTTGCAGCCGTGGTCACGCCTCCGATGTTAACATTTATGCCACTGGTCATTTCATAACAGGGAGAGACAGGTTTCGTGATCTTTAATACTCATCAGCTGCCACGGTTGAGCAAATAAGGGTGCGTGCGAGGTAGGTTCGGTAGGTAGGGTAGGTGCGGTAGCGCGCTGCGCTACGAACCCGGCGACGCGAGTTCAATTCCTGCTCACGGTCAATGCCAGTGACGATTATCTGACCCGGTCCTGGGCCTCCCCCAGGTCGACTCAGCCTCAAATGAGTGTGTGGTGTGTAAACATCGCCACTGGGAGACAAAGGCGGCTGGGCGTGTTGTCGGCCACCCACCCCCTCGTGTGCCGTGCCGGCCTTCGTGGGTGCTTGCAAATAGCACTTGCCCCCACAGTCTGCTCAGGCTATACGGGTAATCTTTATCTTTGTATGGTAGGTAGGGTAGGTAGGCTATGTAGGTATGTGTGGAGGGGTCGTGAGGAAACAGCAGGGGAGAAGAGATGCAGGCGACAAGAAGAAGCGAGTAGAAGTTAGCGTCAACGGATATTCACACAACGCCCCACAGTCGCCTATCACGTCTCGCGAATGTTTTTATGACGGTGAACTGAGGCAAGGAGGACCACAATATAGAGTACTTGTACGTGTGTATACTGGACTTCTTTCGCACCGTACGTAGACCAACCGGGCTAATCGGAGGCGCGGGGAAAGCACAACAAACTAAACACAACAAAAAAGCGGTTCTAAATAAATTCCTTTTTAATCGAGATTTTGTTTAGGACTTTCTTTTTTTCTATACGTTGTTGTTACGGAATCTCGAACTGCACTATTCATCTGTTATGATGATGCTGTTGTTGTTGTTAATGATGATAATAATGTTTTTTTCTCTCTCTCTATCGTCATGAGCAGATTTGACAAACGTACTGATAAGGCATTGAGTGCAAGTTCCCGTGCGCGAGCGAGGTGAGAGGTTGTCCATCTCCAAGTAACGGCGACGCTAACGCCACCTGCCTGCAACCTCCCCCGACGTTAAACCGGGGCTCGTTCCTGCGCGAAGACATCCAGCCCAGAGCGGCCCCCATATCCCATCGTCTCAAAGGGTCAGATGATGACACGGGGCGCGTTTCGCGGTGTTGAAGGAAGGGGGGTGGTGGGGATCGGACGGAATGAAACGACGCAATGTAACACGCGGGATGATGCGCCTGCATGGCGACGAGCGGGCATAACGGAGCGACGGATGGATAAATGGACATGCGGACAGATACACGGACAGACGGGCTGATGTATGAACGGGTAGGCAGACGGATACGCAGACGGATGGATAACCGAACGGGATAATATACACAGGTAGAGACTAGGACGAAGATGCACGCAGGCTGCCAGATGAACGCACGGATGGACAGACAGAAACATTGACTGAACGGACAGACAGACAGACAGAGGAGGGCTACGCTTGTCATGAGACGACACCTACCAGCGAGTCGTTTATGGGTCTTCAGATCGGCGAATCTCGGCGCTTCCGTCTCGCCGGAGACTGACCTCGCAACCCCGATGAGCCGTGCCTTGCAACGCTCGCCGCTACCGCCGCTGCCGCCGCTGCGGAGTGTGGCATGTGGCTCCGGAGTTTACGGTTGGGGAGCAGAGCTTTGAGGGAGGGAGGGAGGTGAGGGAGGAGGCGGTGTTGGTGGGGAGGGGGGGAGCCGTGTTCGCTGGTTGCTCCGGCGAGAGAGAGAGCGAGCGAGCGAGCGGGGATGAGGGGGAGGAGGAGGAGAGGGAGGAGGGCGATCTTCACCGACGGGGAGAGGGGTCGCTAGGGAGGGGAGGTCGGAGCGAGGGGACGCGAGGCGCTCCGTGCTTTGGCGGGCTTAGTGCCGCCAAGAGAGAGAGAAAGCGAGAGACGAGGGATGGGGGGTAACGGGGGCTGCCGGACCCACGGAGAGGGAGGGGTGCTGCATGGCAGCAGACAGACGGTCGCTGCTCCGGGCACCGCTGTGGTGGTGGTGGCGGCATTGCGACGATCGTTGGCAATGGGCTCGACGCGTTTTTGTTACTCACATCGCTGTGCAAAAATAAATATCTGCAGAGTCGGTGATCCGTGAACTTTAGTCGGGATAGTCCGAAAGGCTTGGCGAAGTCGCGTTATTCTCACTTACTCTGGCCTCGTTTTTTTGTGACTTTAATATAAATATATTTCTATAAGTGTGTTTCAATAAATCAGATTGTGTAGAGGCGCGCCGTGTACTCTCGTGGTAGTGCCTTACGCCGATTACCCATCCTCCAATCCAGCCCTAGCAGCGTTGCGGGTTGATCCATTTATAGATATCCCACTGATTTTAAATAAAAATGTCCCCCCCCCCCTCTTAAAAATGTTTTGAATACGGTGAAAGTGATGGGTCCATATTTTACAGAGGAACATGGTCAAATGTCTAACGCGTATGTTGACATTGGTGGGAGACATACTGAGGCATAAAATGGGCTGGTGTTTTAGGCCAAAGGTCCTTCTTCAGAGCACAGATATCAACGGTACATCGTGGAGACCTCAAACACTTGAAATAATGTTGACACAAACGTAACAATTATATTTACTTATCTCGCATTAACAGTACTGTATATAAACTTCAAAGCGCCTTTACAATACCGTGTTGCTGTACTAGTTACGAATTGGCACGTTCTGTTTACGTGACAAACCTTCCTAATTGGCTGTGTCGGGTGGTGACGGGTTTAACGACACATTTATATATTTACGCGATCTAACCCAAAAAAAACTGTATTATGGATGATATTGGTCGCGAAAGCCTCCCATGTTTTAAACCGTGTGATCGCCTTTGAATGTACGGTATGAACAGGTCATGGGACGTTTCTTGCCAGTATCAAAATATAAAAAGAGGTTTTACCCTTTCTGGCACTAAAACAGTTGTGTTAAGGTGTTAAAACACCGGACTGAAACCTTTTGCAAGGAATCATGTCTGCATCAACCACACGTACTTGTGGTGAACATGCAAAAAATAATAATTATCTGGTAAAGAAAGCTGTCTCTGGTGTGGCCCAATGAGTTCCAAAGACAATACAAATACTACCAGAGCATGTGTTTTTGTTTCCATGTTCACCACAAGTATGTGTGGTTACTGCAGACATAATTCCTTGCAAAAGGTTTCAGTTTGGTGTTTTAACATCTTAACACCCACTGTTTTATTGCCAGAAAGGGTAAAACCTATTCTTATATGGCTTGAATATGTGTTCACAGGTTTGAATTGTAACCACTGTCAGCTACGGCCCACACAGAAAGTTACATCTTTGTGCAAAAACAAATGAGTCTTTTGGGATTGTTTTTCCTTTCCAGCTGAAGAGCCGTCGCCCCTTAATGTTAGTTCGTGGCATTTCTGGTTTGAGACTGATACAGTATACCGTTTAATAATCAACCGGAGCATTTGCCATTGTGAGTATGAATGGTCTATACTTGTAAAATAACACCCAAATAATCGTAACAAATATAAATCCTCGTGCAACGCTCATTCCAATAGAATTCCAAGTGATTTTCCTTAATGTATATTTGCTGTGCAAGGTTAACGACCGGGATATATATACATATATATTTATTTATGAGTGTGTGTGTGTGTGTTTATATGTTTAAACAAAGTCACAGTGTTAATATTATTATCATCACTAATGGCCGCGGGTGAAATCGTTCAATCTCATCTCTCGTCTGGCTCTCGCCGCGCGCTCAATTGTAATCGCAGACGCGAGACTTTGCAAACGCAGCTCCAGCCACCGTGCTATCGGCACGCACGCACTCCCCTGAAACTGATGAAGTTAAACCAACCCCCACCCCCCGTCTTACCGCTCTGACATTCGTGCACAAGACACTAATAACGCAAGGTAAGCGCATTCGCCAACAGCGCTGCGCTAAAGACGAAACATGATACGGTAGCTGATCGTCTCCCTGATATCAAAGGGGCCATTGCCTGAAAAGTCGCTTATTATTATTATTGCAAATAAATATTTACGGCAGTTTTATTGACACATTGGTTGAGCCATTGTTAAGACATATATGGTACGTATATACGTGGTTGTTTCAATAAGTGAAGACTTTATATTTTTAGTAACCTATGTAAATGCGATGTTCATTAAAAAATTATAATTGCGTAGTGGACGGGGAATAATTGAGGTACTGTACTTGTCCCTCTGCTTTTCAGATCGGTCGCTAAATGGCAGAAGTATCACGTGATCAACCCTGATGGCACCCTTGCCCAATTGCACATCAGGAGAGCAGCAAAACGACCATTGTTGATTGTCCTGTGAGAGTGTAAACACATTCCTGCGGAGGGAGCTGGTAGGAACGTTGGGTTGCTCGGTCAATGGCCAGGGTCAACGGCGGCGTGGTGTATTCCGCAAATATGCCCGACTGTGAGGGCGGGCACAAGCCGGCGTGAGTAGGTTAAACGTTGAGTTTTATGAGGGCACCACGGGGTGACCAGCCCCTCCCCACCCAGCCCCCCCCCACCCAGCCCCACCCTCCCGACCCAGCCCCTCCCCACCCAGCCCCTCCCTCCCCACCCAGCCCCTCCCCACCCTCCCCTCCCCACCCAGCCCCTCCCTCCCCACCGAGCCCCTCCCTGCACGACGGACACAATAATCCCCTGTGGGCTGGTGTAACCAGGAGGTTCCTACCGGTAACTAAACACGAGTGAACATCGTCTTCAGAACATTTAGCAGTCAACCTTGCCATGCTCCATTCAGTGTGTCGCTATACCGTGGCTTCATTCTTTGATACATTTAACTTGCATATACATCATCACAGGACCAAAAAAACCTAATACTGAAGCAGTGAACTGTTCTTATAACATGTATACGTGATACGTCTGGCATCCAGCGGCAGAATCAGCGTTACAAATATTGCATTTCATTACCAGGGCCATGTTCCTCTTAGCAACTCAACCTTTACTCTGAATCGCATTCACATCGGGTTACAGCGACGTCATTGACATTTAAAGAAACACATTCGTGTAAGTATGCTTCAGTGAAGTCGCGTGCACGCAGCCTTTGTTTGTCAACGGCGGTGAGCGTTTGATTCGGAAAGATTGCTCTCCGTAGAGCAGTGGTTCTTCTTAAGCTGGGGTGAACGCCAGATCTTTCGAGAAGGTAAATAATCGAAAACACAAATTACGCACGGGCACGTCAGTTACAACTACTTTGTTTCATCAAACCTTATGTAGTTATTAACATTACACGTGTTTCAACGATGGAGAACCAACGGAGTGCAAGGCTGCAGCGAAGATGAAGAACCACTGCCGTAGAAGATTGTGGAATTTCCATGACTGGATCAGGGCCACGACGGAGCTGAGCGAGCACGTTGAGCAGTGAGGACGCACTGTGACCTTCGTGTGTATCAACGCCGTCATCATCATCACCATCGCGAGTCCCGCCTCGTTCTTTGAGTCAATCGACACGCAGCCCCCGAGCTTACAAGTACCCAGGTTCCTTACGAGGGCGACAGTCGTGGCGACCCCGGCGCGTCTCCTAGAGGGCGGTTACACGAGTGCTTCTTATCCTTGACTGCAGCCTTGGCTATCAATCGTCAACAAATATAATGTATAGTGTTAATAAATACATAGGCTTGATTAAAACAAAGTATTTACACCATTGGAACCTCATTTGCCAGTAGCAAAATATGATAATTGGTTTTTTACCCTTTTATCTGCCAGATAAAAGGGTAAAAAACCAATTATTATTATAAGACAAAGTAGTTGTACTTCCGTGCCCGTGTTTAATTTGTGCGTTTAGATGAATTACCTTCTAAGCAAATGTTTGGCCACGTCTCGCACCCCCAGAACTTGCATCTCGGCACCCCCCCCCCCCAGGGTCTGCGATGCTCCCCAGGTAAAGACGAACCACTCACTGCTCTACACGAACGGGGGTCGCGATCGGCACAGCCGGCGACGCGCGCTCGCCGAGTCTGCCGCGTTCTCGTTTGCTGGTGACTTTGTTTATTTCACATCGGAATCGCCTCCAGTGCTGTTGCTGCTGGCGGCAATAAAAGTTGTTTAAAAGGCAAAAAGTCTCGTCTCCGCGACGGCGGCACTCAAAAGAGCCCCATGATGCCCACACACAACGGCAGGAGGGCCGAGCTCCTACAGTATTCACGTGTACCGGTGTGCACGCGCGCGCGTGCGCGTGTGTAATATACTGGGGAGCGGTGGTGCAGCGGTCACCGCGCTGCGCTACGAAACCGGTGACCCGAATTCGCTTCACGCTCACGGCCACCGACACCAGTGACGATTATATGAACCGCGCCTGGGCCTCCCCTAGGTCGACTCAGCCTCTAATGAGTACCTAGTGCGGTGTGTAAACATCGCCACTAGGGAGACACAGGCGGTCGGGCGTGGTGCTGGCACACACACTCTCCACGCGTACCGTTCTGGCCTTCATAGGTGTTCGCTAACAGCACTTGCCCCAAAAAGTATGTTGAGGCTATACGGGGGATCTTTGTCTATACAATACTGGGGAGCGGTGGCGCGGCGGTTAGCGCATTGCGCTTACAAACCCGGGCGACTCGATTTCGATTCCCACCTTACCGCCAATAACAGTGGCAGTGAATATTTGAACCGGTCC